AGGTGCCCACGCAAGTCACCAGAGGCATTGCCTGGTGGCACCCCGGCTACAGACGAGGACACAGAGGCCTGGAGCTGTGCATGGCCTGCCCCACACCACACAGCAGGGAAGCGCTGGGACAGACACAGAGCAGGGCTGCCCACTCCAGAGCTGGCCTGGTTCACTGCAAAGGGACCACAGGCCCTCTGCAGGAGAGCCTAGCCTGGGTGTGGCTGCTGAGGAGACAGGCAAGGGGGGCAGGTGAGTCACTCTCGTCTCCTCATCCCAGTGAATCTCAGTGAGCTGAGGGGCCCAGTGTTCCTCCAAATGACTGCTAAGGGGCCTCAAGGAGACAGGCACCTAGCCCTCCCATCTGCAGGGGATCCAGCCCAGTGAGGTCAGAGAGCTCCCGGGCTGGAAGGGACTCAGAGGGCGTCCACACCTTCCCGGAGGTCATCTTGCCCAGCCCTCTCTCCCTGCCAAGGGCCCATCAGGCAGGCCTGAGTGCCCTCCACACCCTTGGCAACTGCCCAGTGAGATTTCAGGGAGGTGGCCTCAGGGGTAGACACTGTATGAATGAAGGAATGTGTGGTAGGAGGTGACAGTGGTGACTCAGGGTGACTCAGCTGGAGCCTGCCAAGGGCCTGCTGAGCAGCTGTCTGCAGCCACAGTGGCCCCCAGCCTGCCCACCCTGCAGCAGGGGCCAGCTCCCCTTTCCCTAGGGCCCATCTCTCCTGCTGGCTTCGTGCCCAGACATTTAGAAACTGGTGGGGAAGAGGGTGCATGGCAGGTGCCTGCGCTGAGCCTGGGAATGGAGTGAGGGAAGGCCTGTGAGCAGAAGAGAGAGGTAGGGGTGCTGCCCCTCCTCCTAGGAAAATCTGGAGACTCCACCATAGAGGCCCATCTCATCCAGTAAATCCTCATAATCCAGACGGGAAACCAAGACCAGGAGGGCAGAAGACTCGCCATAGTCATGGGGCTGACAAGGCTGAACCAAGAAAATGACCCTAGCCAAATCATTGGTCTTCTAGTTGGTGGAGGACGCGGACATCGTGCTGTGCATGCCAAGGCTCCATCTGTAAAGCCAAGCGAGTCCCATCACGGTCTCTGCTAGAAGCGACTCACATTGCCCATATGCCTGAGATGACCCAGGTGCTTATTTCACTTTCTACCAATCCCCTGTACCATCTATCCACTATCTATCTGTCCATGCATTCATCCATCTGTCCACATCCACACATTTATCCATCATTGATCAATCCATCCTTCCATCTGTTCATCCCTCCATCCGTTCTTCCATCTGTTCATCCCTCCATCCGTCCTTCCATCCATTTATTTATCTTACACCTTTTGATCCATCCATCCTTCCACCCTTCCATCCATCCGTCCATCCATCCATCCGTCCATCCATCCATCCATCATCCCTGCGTTCATTCATTCCTTATCCATCCACCCATCCCTTCATCCATCCACCCACTCATCCATCTTCCTTTAGACCATCCACACATTCATTTATCCATTTATCCTTCCACATCTCCGTCTGCAATTCATACCCTTCAGTTAGTGGATAATTCATCCATCAATTCCTTATTCATTAAACAAGCCCTAGGAAGCCTTGACAGGGTAGCCAGTCCTGTGACTTCCCCCTGACCCCCAGCCTTCCACACCCTACTCCCTCCTTTCCAGCCATCAAGCCCTGCTCATCCCAGCAGGCCACAGTGACTCAGACACGCATGGTCCATGACTTTCAGAAGCTCATAGTCTCAAGGGACAGACAGGAGCTGAACCCAGAAAACGCTAAACCAGGCGGAACGGCCAATGCCTCCACCCCTCTCTGTCTCCAGGATGGTGGAGTCCTTAGTACTGTTCCTGCTGCTGGTGGTCTTTGCTCCTCACCTGCTGGGGATGGGGAGGACCCGAGCTCCTCATTCTCGTACCAGCTGACTTGGGGAGAGGGGTCGATGCTGAGGGGAGGAGGACTGGGACGGCAGAGAATGAGCAGTGCCTGCCACTTCCTGCCTGGCCTGAGCTTGGCTCCCAGTGCTTCTAGGAGTGGTCTGTGGACCTGCCCAGTGCTTTGAGATCCCCGGAAAAGAGGGAATTCCGGAGGAGCAGCTCAGCCTCACAAAACTGAAATGGGTTGCGTTCTTCCTGTTGTGTTTTTATCATCATCATGACACCGTAGAGCTTTTGCATTTCAAAGTGCCTTGCCCCTGTGACGGTTTCATCCCCATAGCAGCCATGGCCAGAGGGTCAGGGAGGGTGGCGAGACACCCCTGGACCGCAGTTTGGATGACTCTGCGAGCACCTACTGCATGACCTTGGGCAGAACTTGCCTCTCAGGTCTCAGTTTCCTCAACTGCCGAAGGAGAGACAACGCCTCCTCGCAGGGGCAGCACCAGGGTGAAATGAGACCCTGGATCGGAGACCCCAAAGCAGTGCCATGTGGATTGTGCTGAACGAAGCTGTGGTCAGCCGGACGGGGCCAGCCGAGCACACAGGCCTGCAGGGCTTCCTCATCATCCTCCATAAAATGTCCAAGCAGCTCAGCCTGGCTGACCCCCTGGCCTGGCCTCCGTCCCCGCTCCACACCACCCAGACCCTCCACACAGTCCTCTCCAGCTCCGACACACCAGGGGCTCTCCTGCACTCAAGCCGTGCACACACTGTCTCTCTGCCTTCAGACCCCTCCCTGCCTCTCCTCCCAGCCAGTCCCTTCCCCTGCCTGGTATCTCATCCTTCCGGCTCCGCTCGGACGCCCCCCACCCCAGGGAGGCTTCTGTGATGCCCAGATTGTGTGTCCTCCCCTCCTCTGCATCTCCCCTGCTAAGGGGAAGTGGCACTGGGCATCCTTAACATGGCACGTGGCATTGGGCATCCTTACCGTCCAGGACTGCTGTTCTGTCTCCACCACCAGATTGGCAGCGTGGGAGGGGGGGAAACCACATCAAAGTCACCAATGTGCCCAGAGGGTCAGGGGGGCCTGGCACTGAGGGGCCACAGGATCATCTGACGCGTGGAGAACGAATGATGCCCACGTGACCCCGGGCTCCCTGTGGACACCTGGAAGCTACTCGTAGGAGGAGATACGAGGTTGGATTTAGAAGCCTGTGCCCCAACAGGCGTAGTTTTCCTCCCAGCCCCTTCTCTTCCCTCCACCTTGGATCCACCCCAGACTGAGAGGTGGGAACCACAAAGGGAGTTGGACCAGTCAGCAGAGGCCGTCCTCCCTGGGCCTCCCAGCTCTGTGCTGAAACAAGGATGGGTCAGTGGAGCCAAGGGAAGCACCAAGGTGCTCATGCCCAGCCCTCAGCTCCTATAGAATCCTGGGTTTGAGGCTCTGCGCCAGGCCCCTGTCGGGGTGAGCTGGGAGGCACCGTGGGAGACAGAAGCACACTGTCGGGAAAGGGGGATCCTGACGGAGGCCTTGGGGTGGACAAACTCAAGCCTCTCAAACCCCAGGAGCACCCTCACTGGCCCCTGCAAACTTGCAAACACCCTGTGAACTGGCTGCAGGGCTGGGAGCCGTGCAGCCTGGGCAGGACACAGGAAGCGGGCGGGTCGTGTTTTTGTGAATGAAACTGCAACCCAGCTTCCTCCGGGTCTCCACGCCCTGCCGGCCTCGCTTGACCACTCCGTAACCTCAGGCGAAGCGCTGGCAGAAAGGGGGAACTTCAAAACGAAAGTGTGAGTCAGACAGGAGAAGGAAATGGAGAGAGAAATTCTTGTTTCACAGAGGCCTCACATGAGACCTGACCTGGGCTGGAACTGCAGCCTGGCCCCCAGCAGCCCCAGTCCCAGGGACGTCCACCTGCGGCCTTGGCCTGCTCGCCACGCCGGGCCCCCAGCCCCTCCAACACCATCTGGACAGGGAGGGGCCACCCACACCCCATCTGGGGCCCTCGACAAAGACGGCTGCAGAGAGTTCCCTGACAGTCATTTCCCATTGATCCCAGGAATGTTGAGTGAGCACCGACTGTGTGAACAGCCTTGTGCTGTGAACAAGACAAGCAGGGCCCTGCCTTCATGGAGCGGACAGTTCATGCTGGGGGCCATTAACATGGGGAGCAAGGTGAACAGAGTTTGGGTTGTTCCTTGTGCTACTATGGAGGTCAGTAGGTTGCTGTGACGGACTGGCAGGATGTACCTGGGAGGAGGTGGCACACAGCTGGGCTCAGAAGGAGGAGATGGGACCCCCACAAAGAGCAGAGTGATGTGCATGCCAGGTGGCAGGGAGGGCAGCCCGGGGAAGCAGCTCAGGATGTTCTAGGAACTCCAGAGGTCGTTGCGACGGAAGTACAAGGAATGAGGGAGCCAAAGATGAGAAGGAAGCGGGGCACGTGGGGCATTGGGGGTGGCTCGCAAAGCCCCCATTACCTTCTGAGCCCAGAGCTTGGGCAGGGCTTGTGACCAGACAGAAAGGAAGATTGCTGAACACTGGGGGTTCCTGCCTTGCAGACAGTCAGCTTTGGGGAAGTCACAGGTCCGTCTCCCTTGGATTAGACAGGAAAGCCCCTCCATCCTGGGTGTCTGGGGTAGGGGAGTGAGGCAGGGCTGCTCACCCAGCCGCCTGCCTGGGACCCCCAAGCTTCCTCTTAACCCCCAACTCCCCTCCCAGGCAGGTTCTTCACCTCTCCCTCCTTGCTTGGAACGAATGGATTCTGCTGTCCCTTTAAAGGGACCTGAGTCAGAGAGTTAAGAATGAAACTGACTCATGGTGGAAGGGGTGGTCACCAGCTGGCCAGGCGCCAGGACTGCGGCGGGAGAGGAAGCCAGGCGACCGCAGCTGCCTGTGTGTGCTCTGCTGCAAAGGGCAGAAACCACAAAACCCCATTTGAAATTCCGCCGTGCAGCACGTCTTGTGTAATGAGGTTACCCCCTCATAATGGGGGCATTCAGGGACCACACGGGCCTGGGGGCTGGGGGCCTGCCCCCCAGGGCCAGCTGATGCTGATGTCATCTTCAGTCAGGAGTACCCCCTCCCTTGATTAAGAACTTAAAAAAAAAATGCACCAGGAAACTAGAGTGAGAGCCAGAACGGAAGTCTTGGTTTTATTTATAGCTGATAACTTACATCCGGCCCTGCTCCTCGGGAAGCACAGCAGGGAGGACAAAGAGCCCAAAGGAGCCGGCGACAAAAATGCCCAAACCCCTGAGCTAATGTGGTGCCTGAGAGCAAGCCTAAAGCTCCCTTCCGAGCTACCCAGCAGCCAAAGCAAAGAGAGAAACAGGGTCCTGCAGCATGATGTCACAGAAAACCAGGGACCCTGGAGCCTGGGTTCCAACAGGAACCTTACATTCTGACACCTTAGAGTCTGATTTCTCCCTGGAAAATGGAGAGAAAAATACTGAATTGGTTAGGAGGGCTATGCAGCACACCCAGCACAGTGTCTGGGTGCGTTTCAGAGGCCCCGCCAGTCTAGCGTCTACGAGAAGACAGCACAGGTGCCTCACTCTCCATGCCTGTGCGCATGGCAGACATCACTCGTGGATTGCAACATGCTTTCCTGGAGCCAGATTCAGCCTCATAGCCCCATTGCACAAGTTCTCCAGGGGCTACCACCAATGCCCCAGTCGGCTGGAGCTGAACTTGTGTGTCCTCCCAGCCTCTAACCAGCTAAGGAAAGGACCAGAAGGAGCTGGATCATCGTGATCTTCCCAGCACCTGGCTCATGCCTGCACCTGGGAGATGCTCGATAAAAAATTGTCTAGTTAAGGAAGAGGCAGGGAAGAATGGGAGAGAGGAGAAGGAAGAGGAGAGGGTAGGAGAGTTGGGAGAGGAAACTTGGACCTTAGGCAACTTGCTGAGCTTCTTTGGGCCTCAGTTTCCTCATCTGTTAAGTGGGGGGGGTTTAGCAGCTAACTCATGGAGTTATGCTGAGGATTAAATGAGGCTGGGCATATAAACCACCTGGCACACAGGACGTCCTCAACAAGTGAGGATGATGAGGAGGAGGAGGACGAGGGGGTGGAGGAGGAGGGGGAAGTTCCTGACACTGGGGCTGGGCACACGGTGTGCCCCACCTGGCCAGTCCTCTTAACTCCCATGCCCCACCCCACCCCTGGCCTCAACTGTCACAACAGTCAGCCAGGACCCAGCCACCCCCAGAGGCAGCCCCAGGTGGAGCAGTGAGGGGTGCGGTGCTGGTGGGGGGTCACGCATGTTCTTCTTCCCCTTCCACAGTCGGGAGAGCTTGATTCTGCCAGGGTCATGCAGAGTGCCCTGGCACCGGTCAGAAGTCCTCGCCCACGTGAACACAGAGCCACACCCATGCGCGCCCACATAATTTCCGTGGAGACCCCAGGCCACCCATGCACCTCCTCAGGACACGAGCTAATGGCCTGCTCAGCGCCCACTGGAAAGGCTTCTCCCAGGGGAGCAATGCCCGCCACCCTTACAGACTAACTCTCAGAATTCCTGTTCCCAGTGCCACACAGAGTGCCTGGTGGCGCTGGCCTGGGACACATCCACGTCTTCTGCCTCCTGGCTGAGCCCCGCACCTGTCTGGACACCCTTGTCTCCCTTGTTTCTCTCCAGGTCATTAGCTCCAGCAGCAAACCACAGAGACACAAATGCTCCTCTCACCGCAACACACAGGGCCTGGGAGAGAGAGAGGAGGCCCCGGGATGTGCCAGCTTTGGAGCCCTCCACGAAGTGTCTGGTCTGCCGGATGAACATGAGTGACCAGTCCCTGTCCCCGGTGGGGTCAGACAACAGACAAGAAAACCAATGAATAAATCAGACATCAGCAGGTGGCATTCACCCACCGGCAAGAAGAGGATACCGGGGTCGGGGAAGTGTTGGCACCTGGTGGAGGTGGAAGGTCAGGAAGGACGCACCACGGAGATGATGACACCAGGAGGAAGACTGTTCCAGGCGGAGGCAACAGCGAGTGCAGAGACCCGTCAGGAGAGCTGGGGTGTGTGTGACGCGGACCCTGAGGGCCACCAGCCGAGGGAAGGAGCCAGATGCTGTCCTAAGTGCCGGGGGAAGTTGTTAGAGGTGTTAAGCGTGGCGTGATGTGGCTGGATTTAGGGTCTGAGATGAACTTTCCTGCTCCTGAATGGACTCTGAAGAGAAGGAGGATCCTACCTTAAACAACCCACCCCGGGAAGGCACCGACCTCCTTGACCATGGGGAGGATGAGAGACCACTGCTCTGTGCCTGGGTCCCCATGACCTCCAGGGTCCCTTCACGTCTTCACCTCACAATCCTGGAAGCTGGGACCTGCCAAAATCCACGAGGCAGCCCCAACCTCCCCGTCTCTGGGGAAGGGGTGGGCTGCCTTCTCCTCCTGGTTTATAGCCACAGACGACTCCAGGCACCGTGGTCCTCAGCCGCCTCTAGGGACCGTGGGGACAGCTGCCCTCTGTGTGTGACAGTGGCTGGGCAGAAGCCGGCTGGGCTGTCTTGGGTGGGGCCTGGAGGCCTCTGGCTGTATGGCACCACCTTGGGGAGCTCCAGGTGGGAGGGGCCCTGGGCAGCTCAGCAGAGGCTTGGTCACTCCCAAGCCGTCTGTGGGTCCTACTGGTCTGTACCCTCAACCCCACCGGCCTGCACTGGTCATGCCCGGCTCTCACAGGATGATGACCCCAGCCTTGTAATGAGTCACCTGCTGCCCTCCTGCCCCTCCAGCTGATCCCCCACCCAGCAGCCACAGAGCTCTCCTTAAAACATAAGAAAGACCCTGCTTCTTACCTGCTCAGATCTCACCAAGGCCCGACCACCTCACTCCGGATAAACTCCAGACTCTTCACTGAACCCAAAGGCAATGAGCAGAAGTGCCCAGAAAGCACACAGAGCTCAGCAGGTGGTGAGGCACCGGGACCGAGTCACTCAGCAGCTGAACAGGCCATCCCTGAGGCCATGCACGCCCTGGCCCTGCAGGTGTGACAGCCGAGGCTTCCACGACAGGGGGGTGGGTGGGAGCTAATATGGCTGGTGAAAGTACTGGGTTCAGTGGGGATGGCATCTCTCGCCCTCTGTCCAAGGTGGGGAAAAAGTCAGCTTCAGGTGAGGGAGACCCTGGACGCCTGGCTTTGGGCTGGCTCCCCACTCACATGGCCTCTCCCAGGCACACTTTCCTGCTTTGTAGGGATGTGGGTTTGCAGGACAATAACAGGAGAATCAAGTCAAGAACTCGGAGGGGGATAGCCAAGGTAGGCGGAGCTGCCTGCTGGGTGGGACTAACCCAGGTGGGTGGGGCCGTTTGTGAGTGGGGCTAGCCCAGTAGGGTGGGGTTCCTTGGGGGTGGGGCTAGCCCAGTTGGGTGGGGCTCCTTGGGGGTGGGGCTAGCCCAGATGGGTGGGGCTCCTTGGGGGTGGGGCTAGCCCAGGTGGGTGGGGCTCCTTGGGGTGGGGCTAGCCCAGGTGGGTGGGGCTCCTTGGGGTGGGGCTAGCCTAGGTGGGTGGGGCTCCTTGGGGTGGGGCTAGCCTAGGTGGGTGGGGCTCCTTGGGGGTGGGTCTAGCCCAGGTATATGGGGCTGTCTGCTGGGCAGGACTTTCTTCTCTGCCAGCATTTCCCTCTCTTGGTTAAGTAAGGCCAGGGCAGAGCCCACACATGGTTATGCCCAACCTTAAGGCCTGCCCTGGGTGAGTTAAGACTCCCCAGCTCACCTGGGTCCTACCTGAGGGGAACCTACACAGCCAACCTCCTCAAGGATCCTGAAGCCCCAGGAGACCGTGGGGCTAGGGTGCTATTCATTCGTTCATTCATTCACCTATTCATTTATTTACTCGCTTCTCCACCGTTTCCCGGGTAATATTAAGAATAATAGTGGGCCTAGGAGTATAGAACATTCTTAGGGGTTTCTTGCAAGCTAGGAACCCTAAGAACAAGTTATGTAACCCACGTGGTCTCGCTGTGAGGGCTACGACCGCTGTCCTCACTTAACAGATGAGGAGCTGAGCCACGGAGGCCCCACGGCTGGGCAGCTGGGAGTGGACCCCCACAGACTGGAGGGGGATGGGCAGGGGCAAGGGGTTCTGCTGGCCCCAGGCCTCTTGTACACATCTTGGGAGGTACTAAAAACGGATACTTGCTCAAGTCCCACTCTTCATTGAGCACAGGGAGCTCTTGGCCCTTCCCTCCTCCTCCCTTTACCCTCACCCCCCCAATCCCACATGGGTGTACTGAGCACTTGCTAAGGGTCAAGCCCTGCACTAGGTGGGGCACACAGTAGGCACCCAAGGCAGCCCTCCTGCCCAGCTCTCCAGGATACTGTTATCAATGCCAGCAGGAAGCATAGAGAGGCCAGGGGAAGATGGGCAGTCAGGAGGAGCCAGCAGAGGGGAGAGAGGGATGGCAGCTCAGTGCCCCTGGACCCTGGTGGAAGCTGGACTGCGACCAGAGACAGGGCTGCAGCCCAGAGCTAGCCTCAGACCCACAGGGCCTCGAGGGGCTTCACAGGTTTGTCAGGGGTTTGGACTTTATCCCGAGGGCTGGGGACCCTGCAAATTGCAGAGACGGGGCTATATTTGGCATTTTAGAAGCCCCCCCCCGACTGCAGTGGAGGGGAATTGGAGGGAGTGTGAGAGGAGGTTCCCATGCTCACCTAGATGGGAGATGGTGGTGAGATACAGGGTGACCCTGATAGGACTCAGGGACAAATTAAAGGTGAGGGCCAAGGAGAGGGGTATGCGGACAGCTCCCAGGAAGATGGTGACACCAGTGAGGTGGGGAGACAGGATGGCATTTGGTTCCTGCTGAGCTGGAGATGCCTGTGCAAAGCTTCTAAGATACCCAAGGCAGAATCTGCAGCTCCTGCAAAGTCAAGAGCTCTGCTCTGCCCCCAGGGAATCGGGGAAGGTCTCCCCAGTGCCCTACTGGGGCCTCCAGAGCCCCTGTGAGAGCCTCCCCCCACCCAACCACCAGCCATTAGCGCCACCTACCGGCTGCTCAGGGCAGGCCCCCAGCAACTTGCTGAGGGCAGATCCTGATATGTCCCCATTTTAAAGATGAGGAAACTGAGGCCAGGAGACAAGATGAAGCCTGTCTGAGGTTACGTAGAGGTGGAGGTGGCATAAGACCTCAGTTTCGCCTGGCAGATCCTCTCCAAAGAGCCCCGTCTGAGAGCAGATGGAAGGGGGTGGTGTCAGGAGATACCTCATCTCACTTTTGTCTGCTGTCAGCATTCCAACAACCCTAGATTCTTTTGTGTCACTCAGTCTCACCATAACCTCACTCTGATTATCAAAGCTCATCTTTTGGGCTGATATCTGCTTCGGGGACCCCCAACAGCCCACCTGGGTCCTGCTAGGGAGGACTGTAGAAATCTGACTGTCCCAGCTTGATTTTCTCCCTCTGTCTTCAACATTCAGAGTGCCAGCCCACCTGTTAAATCATGACGAGTTTGTGATGGTGATGGTGATGATAGTGATGATGGTGATAATGATGGCGTTGATGATGGTAATCATGATAGTGATAGTGATGATGGAAAGGAAATGGTAATGATGATGACGATGATGACGATGACAGTAATAGTGATAAAGGTGATAGTGATAATGAGATGATGATGGATAATGGTGGTGATGATAATGATGATGATTATATGATTATGATGATGATGATGGTGATAATGATGATGAGGAGGACGATGAGGATGATAATGGTGATGAGAATGATGGTGGTGATGATGATGGTGATGATGATGGTGATGATGGTGGTGATGATGATAGCGATGATGATGATGATGGTGATGGTGGGTGGTGATGATGATGGTGGTGATGATGGTGATGGTGATGGTGATGATGATGGTGAGGATGATAATGGTGATGATGATGGTGGTGGTGATGATGGTGATGGTGGTGATGATGTTGGTGATGATGGTGATGGTGATATGGTGGTGGGGATGACAGTGATGGTGATGATAGTAGTGGTGGTGGTGATGATGGTGATGGTGGTGTGATGGTGGTGGTGATGATGGTGATGGTGGTGTGATGATGGTGATGGTGGTGATGATGATGATGGTGGTGATGATGGTGATGGTGGTGATGGTGGTGATGGTGGTGATGATGATGGTGATGGTGGTGTGATGATGATGGTGATGGTGATGATGGTGGTGGTGATGATGATGGTAAGGATGATAATGATGATGATGATGGTGGTGGTGATGATGGTGATGATGGTGGTGGTGATAATGGTGGTGATGGTGGTGATGATGATGATGATAATGGTAATGGTGATGATGGTAATGATGATGATGGTGGTGATGATGATGATGGTGGTGGTAATGATGATAATGGTGAGGATAACTTGTACTGAACAAGCACCACATGTCAGTGGTGTTCCGACAATATTTCATTTAATCCTCCTGACAATTTTACAAGCTAGGACTACTGTTATTCCCATTTTACAGAGGAGAAAACTAAAGTGTAGAGTAGCCCAGTCACATAACAAGTTAGCAGTGGAACCCAGAGGCACACCCAGGCAGTTGCACCAAGACCTGCTCCTAACATTAACCTTTACTGCTTTTGGCTTAGCCTACAGAGAGTTTGTGACCCCTTCTCTGACACTCCTTGTCTGAGCCAAAAGGCTCCTCCCATCTGGAGTCCTCCCAACAGCACTCCATACCAGTCTGGCTGCTCTTTTGCATTAAGACACAATGAGGAAGCCAAAGACTCTAAAGGGAGGGGGACAGGTGTGCCAGTTTCCCTCAGAGCACTGCCAAGGAGGGACCACAGCTCCAATGGCATGGGTGTATGATGTTCCACCTGCCACGACTCTATGCCCAACCCTCCTGCTCTGAGGGATCAGACTGGGCCCTGACCCTGCCCACTGTGAGTGACTGGTGAGCAGCCAGCCCAGGTTGCAACCACCAGCATGTGGGCACTGGTCAGCACATGGCATGTCTCCTGTCCAGTGCTCAGGGCCTTGCTGGCCACAGTTGGACTCTGGAAGATTCCTGATGTGGACTCAGATGTGTTTGAGCCTAAAAACATGCTTTTCATTGATCCCACCCTACTTCAAACAAAACAGAAGGCTGGGTTGTTCTAAAGGACCGTGCACAGCAGCATCATCTACTGCCCAGGCCCCCAGGGTCAGGCTCTGCCAAAATTTCTACCTGCATGATCCCATTTAACCTTCCAGCTGCCCTGCCAAGTGGCCCTCACTCCATTTTACAGATGAGTAAACTGAGGCCCAGAACAGTCAGGCTGCTTCTTCGAGGACATCAGTTGTTGGAGATCCGAGCCAGGATTCTGAACCAAGGCTGTGTGAAGCCAGTGGTCCTCTCCATGCCCCACCGCAGCCCAATATGGTGCGATCTTCTCTGGAAAAGTAAGCATGGATGCTGAATTAATTTTTAAAATTGTGGGAGGCAGAATTCTATGATGGTCCCCAGACCCACAGCCCTGGTGTACATGCCCTGCACAGTCCCTGCCACTGTGAATATGATGAACTCTGCTCTATGATAGGATTGTGTTTGATGGCACCGTTGACTTGTTCATTTTGAGAAAGGGACGCTAACCTGATGGGCCTGACCTCATCACATGAACCTTTTACAAGTAGGGTGTTTTCTCCATCTGGTTCCCAAAGTGGAAGTCGGGAATTGGACGATGAGAACCACTGCTGATTTGGGAAAGGAAGGGGCCCACGTGGCAAGGAATGTGGGCAGCCAAGGGAGCTGAGAGTGACCCCAGCCGACAACCAGCAGGAAACAGGGACGTCAATCCTACAACTGCAACTGCAAGCAACTGCATTCGGCCAACAACACAAATTAGCGTGGATGCAGACTCTTCCCCAGATCCCCCAGAAGGAACCCAGTCTGGCTGACACCCTGACTTTCAGCACGTGAGACCACGAGCAGAAGACCTACCAAGCAGTGCTTGCCTGGATGTCTGACCTGCAGCACTCTGAACCCGCAACTGGGGTTGTGGTAAGCTATTGTGTTGGTGGCGATTTGTTATGCCGACAGATAACTAATACAGGTATGCCTGCAGGTGGCCTCTGGGGGATCTTCGAAGGTCATGGCCCGTGGGGCCTTTCCTGAGGAGGTTCCTGAAGCTTGGGTTCCTCCTGGGATGGGGGCAGGGTAGCCCACCCAGACCTGCTTGGGTGCTACAGAATTAGCAGGTGCCACAGTGAGAGCATGAGCTGTGGAGAGCAGGAGGGAGGCCTTGGTTCAAATTACTGCCTTGCACCACCTCTCTGGGCCTCC